CCTAAACCCTAACCCCAAACCCTAGAAGGGTTGATACTAGATACTCTTTTTTCTGTAGCAGCGTCGGCTCGAAGAGGCCTCGTCTGCGAGCCTCCAAACTTAAACTCTTCCCCCCCCACCCACGCCCCTGCATAGGCCTTAAGGGTTTATATAGGGTTTAGGGTTTAGGGTTTATGAAACTCCAAACCCCGAATTGTGTTTTTTTAAAGCTGGCGATACTGCGACCCAAAGCTTTGTTTGGAATCTGTGAGTTTGGGGAGTGGGTGGTATGGTCAGGGCCAACAAGAAGTCCGCCTAAACCGGGTTTAGGGTTGATCTGAACGGGTCGAGTGGCTGGAGTTTGCATGTAATCATTTGCTCGATAGTTGAGGGCCGCGTGTGAATCCTTACTATACCCTATACCCTAAACCCTGAACCATAAACCCTAAACTCTAAGCCTTAATCCCTGTGCCCAAAATCCCACCACCGAGCCCGGACGCAGCCGAGGTCAAGGTGGCAAAGTTGATTCTCGCTTTCGCATTTCAGATCTTGGATGCTTTTTGGGGTTGGTGGCCGGAAACCGAGAAATCCGCAAGCAGAGATGAAACGCCTGCGACAGAACGAACGAACACCCGAAGCGATGAACAGCACCCCACATCAAGCACAACCCGAAAAACTTTTAGTCTTCAGGGTTGTTTGGGGGGTTTCGTGGTACTTTAGAGTGTAATTTATAGGGCATTGCGGATTTACGTCCTCCGGGTCGCTTGGGAATCCGAATTACCAGTACTATTTCGGAGGTTCCTTCTGAAAGTTGCAGTATAATATACCCCCCACAAAACCCTATGCTGATTATTAAGGCCCCTACGCTACGACGCGTTGCTTTCGCCAAAGCCATGCTAAACCCTAAACGGTTTAACCCTAAACCCGAAACTCGAAACTCTAAGCCCCATGCCCTAAACCCCAAACCTAAACTCTCAGCTCACGCCGGAGCCCTAAAGTGATGCAGCCGGATGCTGTCGACCAGCTCGGCAGGTCCCGCAGGTTTGGGGCTTAGAAAGCCCCCGTAAGGATGTATGAATTGGGCTTCGGAAGGTTCCTTCAAGCCAAAAATCCTTAGTGTTTCTGCATACAAGCTTCTACCTCCTGAACCCAAAACCCTAAATCCTGAACCCTGAACCCGAAGCCCTCAGCCCTAAACCCTAAACCCTAAACCCTAAACCTTAAACCCTAAACCCTAAACCCTAAGCCTTAAACCCTTTCAAAGGGGAAAAGCAGACCCAGGATGCTGCACTGCGCTGCAAGGGGCAAGGCCGATCTCCTCGACTTTGAGGCCCTGGTTTTGAGAAGCAGAGGGTTGAGGGTCCAGGGTTGAGGGTCCAGGTTCAGGGTCGAGGGTTCAGGGTTCAGGGTTTAGGGTTGAGGGTCTAGGGTTCAGGGTTCAGGGTTGAGGATTCAGGGTTCAGGGTTTAAGTTTAGGGTTTAGGGTCTCGGGTTTAGGGTTGAGAGTCTAGGCTTTAGGCTTGGCTGTTTGTGGGGTCGGGTGTGTTTTGGTATTGGGCTGACCTTCAGGTTTATACGTAGGGTGTTATCTTGTTATAGGGGCGATTCTGACCTGATCCGGGGGGGATGAGGGGGCTTTGTTAAGTGCTTTGAGAACAACGAGGGCCTCTCGGGTTTTTGGGGTGTTGGGTTCGGCTTCCAACTCATGTTCGAGACCCTTAGCACTGAGTCATTGAAAGCTTGTTCATGTATCCATACCCCCGAAACCCTAAACCCTAAACCCAAAATCCAAAACCCTAAACCCTAAAGCCAAAACCCTAAACCTTAAACCGTCCAGACAAGGCTGTGGATCCTTACAAACTGCTACACGGCATGCCCGCCGCGGACGTGCAGGTGCCTGCCACCTCGCAAGCCCCCCTCCTGAACCCTAAATCCTAAATCCTAAACCCGAAACCAAACCCTAAGCCGTGCCACCCAAACCCTAAACCGTACACTATGAACCCTAAGCCCTAAGCCCAAAATCCTAAACCTCACCTTAAGCTCTAGGTCTGGAAACTCCGATGCCTTTGAGGCTGAACCCAGCTTTATGGCAATAAGGAGGTTTGGGTTTAGAGTGTTGGATTTAGGCGCTAGGGTTTAGGGTTTACCGTTTAGGATTTGGGGAGTAGGATTTAGGGTTTTAGGATTTAGGATTTAGGGTTTAGGTTTGGGGTTTATGGGCTGGGGTTTAGGATCATATTGTAGTAAGTAATAGTCGCAGTAGTAGTCGTCGTCGTAGTAGTAGCGGCAGTACTAGTACGAATAGTAGCAGTAGTAGTAGCAGGTTCAGCAGTAGTAGTAGTAGTAGTAGTAGTAGTAGTAGTAGTCGTAGTAGTACTCACCTAGTTCCAGCAGCAGTAGTAGTTGTAGTAGCAGTAGTAGTGGTAGTAGTAGTAGTAGTAGTAGTAGTAGTAGTATTAGGTGGTGGTGGTGGTGGTGGTGGTGGTTAGTAGTAGTAGTAGTAGTAGTAGTAGTAGTAGTAGTGGTACTTAGTGGTGGTTGTTGAGGTAGTATAATGGTAGTAACCGCAGGAGTAAAAGTAACAGGCGGCAGCAGCAGCAGCAGCAGAAGCAGCAGCGGCAGCAGCAGCAGCAGCACTCATTACCACATGGTGTTGATAGTCTACGGCAGTAGCAGTGTTAAGAGAACAAAAGCCCAAGCAGCAGTCATCGCTGAGCCATAGCAGTGTTCAGAAGAAGCAGAACAGCACAAACACCAAGTAGGTCCCTGCTTATTAGATGTTTAAAGGTTCCCACCCGAAGTCTTGTGTTCCGATCTTTGCAAGGTCTGGGATCATGCCTTGGTCATCATCGTCCCCACCGTCATCTCGTCATGACCATCATCATCGTCATGATCAACATCATCACCATCATCATCATCATCACCATCATCGCCGTCATTATCATGGTCATTTTCATCATCTTCGTTGCCGTCGCCGCCACCACCACCACCACCACCAACGTCATCATCAGCGTCGTCGTCATCATCATCATGATCATCATCATCACCATCATCATCACGATCATCATCGTCGTCGTCATCATCATTTTCTTCGTCGCCATCATCAACATCAAGCTTAGTATCATCATCATCATCATCATCATCATCGTCATTACCATCATCACATCACCGTCACCATCATCAACACCACCATCATCATCATCATCTTCATCATGATGATGATCATCTTGATCACATCATCATCATCACCACCAGCATCATCATCACCACCATCATCATCACCATCATCACCAACATCATCATCATCATCGTCATCATAATAATCATCATCATCATCGTCATGACCAACAACATCATCATCATCATCATCAGCAGCACCGCCATCATCATCATCATCATTATCGTCATCGTCATCGTCAACCATCATCTGTGACCGCTAAGTCTTCACGACGATGACCATGGCCATGGCCATGACCATGACGATTATCTGTCATCGTCATCGTCATCCGACGCTGCCACGTAGCAGCCTGATTTTCTGATTTTGAGATCCCGTGCTCTCACATCACTTGCATTAGTCATGAGAGACATACTGCGCACAGGAGGAGCTGGCGTCACTGCCTCCGAATCCCCACCTTGGCGCTTGGACAGCAGCGTGTTTGGTGGATTTGGCTCTTTTGTGTCATGGAAGAGATGGCCTATCCCCATATCTTAAGTTCCAAGCCCCAAAAGCAAAGGTGTTATTATTATTATTATTACTACTACTACTACTACTACTAGTACTACTTCTACTACTACTACTACTACTACTACTACTACTACTATTACTACTACTAACCACTACCACTACTACTACTACTACTACTACTACTACTACTACTACTACTAGAGATCCAATGATTTTACCTTTTCAACTTCATGCCAGCTCACCCGGGAGAGACGGCGGATGTTCCTGCAACGACTCCCGATTCGAATATTCGTGCGCACAAGTGTCCCAAGCATGTGCTTGGACAGTGTTGAGTATCTTGCTCAGTCATGGTAAGGAGCTGTATAGATGTATGTGGTATCTGAGGTCGCCCTGTGCTCAGATAGAAAAAGCTGCAGCTTACGTCGCTGTGACCCGGTTCCAAAAGCCCAAAGCCCAACGCCCTAAACTACCCGGAAGCCTACACTCTAAACCCTGAAGCCAGCATTCTGAGGCGACGACCAGCTCAGCACTCTCGTCGATGAGCACTGCCGGCGACTGTCGGCGACGGAGGACAAAGACAGGCCTGCCTCTTCTGCAGTCTGTTCGGGGTGTGGGGGGTTTAGAGTCGAGGGTTTAGTAGGTTTCAGCGGTTTCAGCCCTAACTACCTTGAATCATCCCGAAGACCCTGAACCGTGAGCCTTAACGCTTTCTCTGCTAGGGTCGAAGGTTTGCGGGTTGAGGGTCAGGGTTCAGGGAGAAGCGTTTCGGCTTGATGCTGGCTACCGCTTCAGGTAGGCCTAGTGTAAGGAGCATTTTGGGATTTTTACGGGACCCTTGTAACTTGTTTGAAACAGGTTTGCGCTCGGGGCCCTTCGGAAGTCTGGTGAGGTTAAAACCCACAGAGACAGATGCTGATTTGGCTTTTTGAATGCCCAGAAACTTGATGCCTGTATTCTGGTGCCCGTGCTGAATAGTACTGCCACTCTGAACATGAGTTCAATCACAGCATCACCTAGATCATTCGTATTTTCACATCGAATCTACTGCTTGTGCTAGATTCCTACTCTCCCCTAAACCTTAAACCCTAAACCCCTAAGCCGTCTTCTTCGTTGGACACTACTTTGTCAGTTTCGAGTGGTGCAGAGTCATGTGATCCAGCATGTGAGCCTTCCTAAACCCTAAACCCTAAACCCTAAACCTTAAACCCTAAACCTTCTCTTTGTTTAGTGTATCCCCGATGGGGTGTGTCCGACCTCTGGCGGTACGAGCAAGGGGCGCATTACACTTTACAAAAAAACCTAAACCCCAAAGCCTGAACCCTAAACCCTAAACCCTAAACCCTAAACCCCTAAGCCTGAACCCTAAACCCTAAACCCTAAACCCTAAACCCCTAAGCCCTTAACCCTAAACCCTAAACCCCCTAAGCCTGACCCGAGCATCAAAGCTTCACCCCGACTTCGCCATGAGGCCGATGCAAGATCCCTGGATACACGGTAGCGCAACCGTGGAGGAACTTTATCGGAAGGAGCTCGGCCATGCTTACATTCCACGATTTTCTCAGGTTTGAGGCACATGGGATGAAGGATCTTCGAAAATTTTGTAGCTCTGGGATGCACATGTTGGAGCGACGAAAACGACGACAAAGACAACAACTGCTACTACTGCTGCGACTACTCTTTTTGCTGCTGCTGCGCTTCTGGTCCCGCCTACTACTAAATTGTTGCAGCTGCAACTGCTACTGCTACTGCTTCTGCCACTGCTGCCACTACTGCTGCCACCACTGCCGTTGCCACTTCTCCATATGCTTAAGCTTCATCTTGTCCTGCTTGTCCTGGTGATCTCGTTGATGGCTTTGGTGCAGCTGCAGTTGTTGCCGATTAAGAAGATGGTTGTGCAAATTGAAGACTCATAACCCTAAACCGTAAACCCTATACCCATGAATGAAGATGGAGTTGGACACCCGACATGAAGCAAGAGAGCACGATGATCGGTGCTTCATGATTGCGTGTGCATGGCGCGTGATGATGATGGGTGTTCATATGATGATGACGGTGATGATAATGGTTGTGGTGGTGCTGGTGGTGGCGGTGGTTGTGGTGATTGCGACGAGAATGCCGACAACGATGTCGATAGTCGTGCTGAATCGTGCTACTGCCAATATCGCAACAACTTATTCTGGTTACTGGCAGTCGCAGGAAGCTCCTCGTCATAAGACACGGCACTTGGGGAGTCGCGGAGAAAGGCAATCAACGAAATGCCTTCGTGACCAGAAGCTTCATCACCGACGTCACCCTTACGAACGGTGAAAAGAGGGGTCGCAGAAGATGCCATCTCTGATTTCTGGAACAACTGGTACCACGTCTTCTGCTAGCACTTCCGAAACGATAGGTTTTGCAACACCGCGAGGTGCCTCTAGATGTTAGAGCACTGTCTGTTGGTTCACAAAGTCTCCCTCTCTCTCTCTCCCTGTGTATATTCTATCCACTAACTTTACTTGACCCCAATCGCGCGTATCTTCTTCTTAGGCGGTCCTGGGTCCAGAGTCCCCCCATACTGCTAGTGTCACGAATCCACAGCCCCGAACCCGATGCCTATAACCCATGCAAAACCATGAAATCCAACTCCACCCTAAACCCTGAACCCTGAACTCTAAACCCCAAACCCTGAACCCCAAGCCCTAAACCCTAAACTGTAGCCCCTCCCCTCAACCAGAGCTCCTCCACCCCAGAGTCGAAAGTCCGCACGTCGAAGCGCGAAGGAGTTGGACTTCTATCGGACCGCCGGGCCGGTGGAATGGACCTACAACTCACAAGGTGAAGAGGGGTAAACCATGAAGCCTAAACCCTAAAC